TTTGTTTTGGTTTGGTTCATTGAGACAGGGTCTCTCTATGCAGTTCCAGGTCAGCCTTGGACTCTCTGCAGCCCAGGCTGGCCTCAAACTCACAGCAATTCTCTTGCCTCAGCTTCCTGAGTGCTGGGATTACAGGCGTGCATCACCATACTCAGCTCTAGTCTCTTAATCTCAAACAGTCCTGATACCTTTCTTTGTATTTTTATACTTCTCCACCTTCGTAATTATAAGGCTTTAAAAATTATTTTATCTGTATGATAATTAATTCTATAAGGATTTATAAAATAAATAAATGAATCTGATGCTGGCAAAAGGTGGGGAGGGGAGAACTGAGATATGTTACATTGCATACAAAGCACTGTGGTATCAAGGTGCATCCACTTTCCTACAAATGATTCGTTTATCCTACTCTATGGCAAAGTAGTTCTCCATCGTGTATAAGCGCCTGGTTCTCTTTATCCATTCTTCTGTTGATATACATATAGCATAGGCTGCTTCCAAGATTTATCTATTATGAATTGTGATGCTATAAACATAGGTGTGCATGTATCACTGTAGCATCATGTCTTTAATTCTTTCAGGAAGATACCTAGAAGAAGGTATCTGGGTCAAATGGAATTTCTACTTTCAGTTTGTTGAGGAATCTCCATACCAATTTCCAAGTGGTTACACTAGTTTATGCTCTCACAAACAATGTAGGAGTGGTCTCTTTTTCCCATGGCATCACGAACATCTGTTATTATTTGATTTCTTGGTACTCATTCTTTCTGGAGTAAGATGGAATCTCAGTGTTCTTTTAATTTGCATTTCTCTAATGGCCACAAATGTTGAACACTTTTTCATGCATTTTTTGACCATTTGTACTCTTCTGCAAAGTGTCTATTCATTGCACTTGCCAATTTTTTTGAGTAGGTCTTTTATTTGGGGGGGATCTAATATTTTTTAGCTCTTTTTATGTTCTCTCTGAGAAATAGCTGGCAATTTTTTTCCTACTGTAGGTGTGTTTTCACTCTGTTAGTTGTTTCCTTTGCAGTGCAGAAGCTTTTTAATTTGATACAATCCCATTTGTTGATTCATGTTATTTCTTATATAACTGGGATTCTATTTAGAAAATCCTTGCCTGCCCCTATTTGTTCAAGAGTTTTACCTGTTTTATCTTCTGGAAGATTACGTGTTTCTGTTTTAACTCTTTGATCCATTTTTATTTTAGCTTAGTACGTAAAGAGATTTATGGGTCTAGCTCCAATCTAGCCACTTTTCCCAGTACTATTTGTTTAAATAGGCTATCCTTCCCTAGTGTATGTTTTTGGCCCTTTTGTCAAAGATCAGATGATTGAATGTGCCATAGGTTGTGTCTACATCCTCTATTCTGTTCCACTGATCTGCATGCCTGTTTTTGTGCCAGAACCATGCTGTTTTCTTTTTTTTTATTTAAAAGAGTGAAAGAAGGATAACATAGTAATAGGGGGATTACTGAATTACAGACCAAGGGGTAGGACATTATCAATGGTTGTTATTTTACCTATTGGTATCTTCAAGATAGTTTTTCAGGAAGACAAATAGATGAATAATAGTGAATTACAGACAAAAATGGTAGGAAATTATCAATGACCATGTTGTTTTTTATCACTGTAACTTCAAATCTGGGATTATTAACAAAGCCTCCTGCTTTGTTCTTGTTACCCAAGATTGTTTGTGCTATACTGGGTCTCTCTGACTCCACATGAATTTTAGAATTATTTTCTCTAGTTCTGTGAGGAATGTGGTTGGTATTGGGTTAGGATTTGGAAGTATCTGCTTTGGAAGTATGGCCATTTTGACGGTCCTGGTTCTGCCTATCCAGAAACAGGGAGTGTCTTTGTATTTTCTGATGTCCTTTTCAACCTTTTTCAGCATACTGTAGTTTTTGTTATAAAGGTCTTTCACTTCCTTAATTAGTTAATTCCTAAGTATTTACTTTTTCTTGATGCTATTCTAAATGATACTGTTTTCCTAATTTCTTTCTTGGTGGGTTCATTATTGCTGTATAAGAATGCTGCTGATTTTTGTGTGTTGATTTTTATGTCCTGCTACATTGCTAATCATTTTTTAATTTTAGGAGTTTTTTGTGGAATTATTTGGGCCTTCTATGCAGAGGATCAGGTCATCTGCAAATAATGATAATTTGATTTTTTCCTTTTCTATAAATATCACTTTTATTTCTTTCTCTTGACTGGAGCTAATACTTTGAGTAATACTGGCATATTGGACAGGAGTGATGATAGGACATGCTTGTCCTTTTTCTGATTTTAGTGGTAAAGCTCTCAGGTTTTCTTTAATATGATGTCAGTACGTTGGTCAATAAATGCCTTCTATCATATTCAGATAAAGTCCTTCTGCACCTATTTTCTTTCGGTATTTTTTTTATCACGAATGGATGTTGGATTTTGTCAAAGGCTTTTTCTGTATCTATTGAGTTGATTTTTTGTCCTTATTTATGTGATGCATTACATTTATTGATTTGCATATGTTGCACCATCCTTGCACCTCTGATATAAAGATGGTGAACCTTTTAGAGTTTTCAACAATAACAACCAGCTGCAGTACCTGTACCATAGTTTCACCACCACTGTCATACATCATGACCTTGGGCATAGTGATGACATTTAGATAACACATCAAAGGACTAATCCATGAAAGAAAGCATTAATAAGCTGCGCTTCATTAAGATTAAAACTTCTGATCTGTGAAAGACACTGTCAAAAGAATGAGAAGGCAGACCACACAGACTGGGACAAAATATTTGGAAGACATTTCTGGCAAAATATACAAAGACAGCTTAAAAGCTAACAATAATTAAAGAACAGAAGGCGCTCAAACAATTCAATAGTAAGGAAAAAGATTTAAAATGAGTAATGGAACTCAATGGACATTTTTCTGAAGACATCCAAGTAGCCAATAAGATTATGAAAAAATGGCTCAACACCATCAAAGAAACGCAAGCGAAAACTAGAATGAAATATTATCTTCCATCTTAGAATGGCTATTATTAAAATGTTAAAGTTAGGTATTGTTAAGAATATTCCAAAAAGAGAATTCTTGTTCTGCATTAGTCTTCTCTTTTTTTTTTTTTTCCAGTACCAGGAATCGAACTCACAACCTCACGCTTGCCAGGCAGGCACTGTGCCACTGAGCTAAATCCCCAGCCCTCTTGCTTTACATTAGTGGAAACATAAATTATTGTAAATGTCATTTTTAAAAGTATGTAGTTTCCTTCAAATACATATCATTCAGCCTTTAAAAAGAAGGATGAACTTTGGAAGGCATTATACTATATGAAGCAAACCTGGCACAGAAAGATAAATACTGCATGATCTCATTTATATGTGGAATCTAAAAAAGTTAAACTCACAGAAGAAAACAGAATTTTGTTTCTCACTGGCTATGGGAGGAAGAAAATGGGGAGATGTTGGTCAAAGGATATAAAGATTCAGTTATGAAGGATGAGTAGGTCTAATGTACAGCTTGGTGACTATAGTGAACAATAATTTAGTATTACATACTTAAAGTTTGCTAAGGAAGTAGATCTTATTGTTTACTTATATTTGAATGTACTTATTGTATATTTTATATATATATACACAATTGAAAATTATACATTTTCTGTCATTTACACCTCAATAAATTGAGGAATAAATCAATTTGAGAAAAATGGGCAAAAGATTTGATCACTTTATCAAAGAAGAAAAACAGATGTCAAATAAGCATATGACAAGATGTTACACATCATATAGCATCAGGGAAATGTAAATTAAAACCACAATGAGATACAACTATATACCTATGATAATGGCAAAACCCTAAAACACTGACAATACAGGTAGACAAAGATGTGGAGAAACAGAAACTCATTTATTTCAAAATGAGACAGTAGGATGACATTTTGGCAGTTTCTTGTAAAGTTAAATATACTTTCCACAAATGATCCGAAATCATGGTGACTGATACCTCCCCCAATGAGCTGAAAACTTACATCCACACAAAACCCACACATTCATTTTTATAGCAACTTTATTAAAATTTTCCAAAATTTGAAAGCAACTAAATTGTCCTTTAGTAGATGAAAGCATATATAAACTGTGGCACATCCAGGCAATGAAATACTATTCAACACTAAAAAGAATGAGCTATCAAGCCATGAAAAGTTATGTAACCTTAAATACGTATTATAAGTGAAAGAATCTAATTTGAAAATGTCGACTACTGCATGGGTCCAACTATATTACATTTGGAAAAGGCAAAATGATGGAGGCCATTAAAATAAATCAGTGGTTCCAGAGTTAGAAGAAAGGGATGATGAACAGGGGAAATGAAAAATGTTTTTAAGGCCATAAGACTATTTTGTATGATACTACAGTGGTGACTATACACCATTACATATTCACCAAAACCCATAGCACATTCAACACTAAGAATGAACCCTAATGTAAACTATGGGCTCTCCATGATAGTGATTTACAAATACAGGTTCATTGATTATAGTAAGTATACCATTCTGCTGAGAGATGTTGTTGATAGGTGAGGGGGCTGTAAATATGTGGGGTAGGGGGCATAAGGGAATTCTCTGCAGTCTTTATTCAATTTTGCTGTGAATCTAAAGCCACTCTAAAAAATAAAGTGTTTTTTCTTTTGTTTACCAGTATCCCCATTCCACCCATCCAGTCACTGTTGGTCAAAGGGTAGCAAAGTTTAGTAAGGCTGGATGAATCAGTTCTAGAGATCAATTGTATAGCTTGCTGACTATGCTTAATAATACTGAGTTATATAATTGAAATGTGCTGAAGAAGTAGGTCTTAAATGCTCTCACCACACATGGACGTACAAATACTGCATAAGGCAATGGGTGTTTCAGTTTGCTTGTTTATGGTAGTTCTTTCACAATGCATACACACTTGTATATCAAAACATTGTTATATATTGTAAATATATATTTTTAATTTGTTAATTATACCTCATAAAGGCACAGAAGAAAAAGAAGAAAAAGTTTTCTGAAAAAAGAGGGGGCATTAAAGGCAGCAAATATGGTGTGAGTTTCCCTACTGAAGCATTTTTCGCATTGAGAGAAGGGGTACTCACACCAATCCTTTTAACAAAGGATCACCTGAACATATTTATGTATACCATTCATGATGCCAGTTTCAAGTGGCTTTGCTTAAGCAGCACATCTCAGTGACACATTAATGACCTACACTAGGTTTCACACTGCAGACATGTTACAGCATTTAACATCAAGGACATAATTTTTCAAGAAAATCACGTTGTGAAGATCAATTTCTGAGAATTCAATCCTTTCTTAGAGATGGATGATTTTCTGTACACATTGTAGACATACAAAAATCGCATAGTGTGAGTTATATCTGTAAATGACAGTTAGACATTACACCTGAACATGAAGAAATCCAGGGCAAAGTACAACCAAACAGCAAATTAAGAATTTTTTTGTCTCCCAAGTTGAATATTCACCTTTCTAACTTTGAGTACATTTTCATTGACTTCAGAAAGTGCCAGAAATGGTATCAGCAAGAAATTGCTTAGTAATTTCATGGTTCCTGTTTGATTATAATATGTAGTGCTGGCAGACAGTGAAACCCAAAACATACTGCCAGTGCCAATGATCCAGGGCAGATCCTAAGGTCTTTTCCATTAGTAGATAACACACTGGAAAACAAGACAAGAAATACAAATTAAAACCAAGCCATATAAAGATGCCTTTGTGAAAGTTTTCAAATAATGTCATCTGTTTCACACATAGCAACCATTATAACTATACATTAAAAATTGAAATGCATCTTTTATAGAAAGTTTCCTAAATTTAGTGATGCACATGTGTAAACACAGACTAAGTAACCTATATATGCAAAGTTTGAATAATTATCTTGAATTATGAGACTCAGGAATATTTCAGGCTAGTCTCCAAAATATTTTGAGCCATTGGAATTTTGTTTTTTTGTGTGTGTGCTGGGGATGAAAGCCAGGGTTTTGTGCATGCTAGGAAAGCATTTTACCAGTGAGCTACACTCAATTTGTTTCTTTAAATTTTTAATAAGTGTTTTGATCTTTAATAACTTTAAATTTTCTTAACTTAAAATCATTTCAACCTTACATAAAACTAGCAACAATTGTACAAAGAATTTTCATATAAATTTTACCTAGGTTCCCTAAATGTCAGAACTTTATCATAATTCTACTTTATATGATTTTATTATTAATTACATATGTATTGGAGAGATGTTAAAATATGAACTAGAAGAGCATAGATACCGCCTATAATCCTCTATAAAAGATCACCAGTGATAACCTTTCTTTCATTCTTTTATCTATTTTAGGTAGCCTAAAATTTTTAATTTTTTTCTGTTTTTATTGGTATATATTTGTCATACATGATAATTCCACTCAACTTGGGAAATTGGTACATATAAATATCACATTTTAATGTGTTTTTTCCCCCTTTGGTAATGATCCCAAGTCTAGGATTAGGATAAGACAACTGAGATGTTTAGAGCACAAGATTTAAGAGGCTCTCATTTTCAGGGTTCTGTAGAAGAGCACTCATGTGATCCAGAGAGTGAGTACTTCTTTAACAGCTGTGCTATAGGCACCTCACTTGCCTCACTGTCTTCCCTGGCCTATTTTTTCTTTGTCTTTTTCCCACTTCCACCTCCTATCTCAAGCTACGACAGCAGGAGGAAAACAAGCCAAAACAAAACGAAAACAGGGTAACTCTTCTTCACTTGGTAGTTTTCAAACCAGCAAAGAAAAAGGGTTCCAAATATATACAATATTGAAATGACAGAAAGATGTAAGTACCAAAATCTTATAACTAAAAATAAATTTATGAGGAGGAAGGAGAAAAGACAGGGAAATGATGGGAATTTAAAGAGAAGTGAGACCTTGTACCTTGCCCACCCTTGACAAAAGAGTGGGGCCAACCTCCAGGAAGGTATCATACACCAGTGTGGCATGGGAGTAGCCTCAAGGACAGTGGTACTTAAAGGCACTCTGAGTATGGGAATAAGACACTGAAGCAATGATATGCCCTTACCTGGTGTTATGGTTTGTGTCTAGATGTCCCCCCAAAGCCTTATGCAGTCATGCAGTGGGCTTCTAGAGTTTGTAATTGATTCAGTGTCCAGTGCTGGGATTACGGGTATGAATGCTATACCCACCCTGCATACAATATAAAGGAGGGAAAGAGGTTTGCTCTCTCTCCCTCTCCTCCCTTTTTGCTCTTGTTGCTTTTCCTATCTTCTGCCATGTGAACAGTTGCCCCTCAGCCATGCCACCCTGCCTTGGAGCCAGCTGATTATGGACTGAAACCTCCATAAACTATGAGCTAAATAAATCTTTCCCGCTTTAATTTTGCACAGTGTGTATTTTGTTTCAGAAACAAGAGAAAAGTAACCAAGACACCTGGTAACCCAAGTATCAGATATCTAGATGATGTTTAAGCTCAGAGATTCTGTGAAATTCTCTGAGTATCAGATATCTAGATGATGTTTAAGCTCAGAGACTGTGAAATTCTCCAAACGACCCTTGGAACTTAGACGAAACTTGAGAGAAAAGGAGTGGGTAGCAAGGACCACAATTTGATCAAGATTAAATTTCCATCACCCCAGTGCAATGGAGGCTTACAAGAGCAATTACATAGGGAATAAGACAAGAAAAAAATAGAATGCAACATTTTTTCAACATGTTCCCTAAGATTTAGACCCATTATTACAAGCAGAGAATGATCTGTGGATCTAGGGCTGGATGAAGAGATGAAATTATATATATCAGAGATTCAGTTTTTCAGGAGACAGGCAATCATTTCAAAATCCCCCTTACCACCACGGCTTCCTTTACTGCCTTAGTCTCACATGCTCAACTAACCTGATTTCATATGCCCCCTACCTCCAACTTTTCATTTGGAAATCTATTCTGCTATATAACACCTATCATATAAGACCTATTCCAAAACTTTCATAGGAAAAGTACTGCTTCTCCATCTCTTAGGATTCATCACATGTACCTGGATGATATGCAGTATTTTTTGCATAAATAAGTGACATATAATCTCACATTGTCTTATCTCACTAACTAGTTTATTCATCTCATGAATATACATACTGTATCATATATATAATCATGAAGTTTTTTTATAACAGCTTCATTGAACTAAATTTTGCATACTATACAATGTATTTTATTTTATTTTATTTTATTTTATCTTTTGTCTTTTTGAGACAGGGTCTCACTATGCAGTTCAGGCTGGTCTTGAACTCACTTTGCACTGCAGGCTGGTCTCAAACTTGCAACAATCCTCCTGCCTCAGCCTCCCGAGTGCTGGGATTATAGCTGTGTGCTACCATACCCGGCTTCAATTTGCAACTTTAAAGTGTGTGATTCAATAGATTTTAGTATATTGACAGAGTTGTACAACCATGATCATAATCAAATTTACCTCATTTTTATTATACCAAATCAAAACAGTACCCACTAGCTATTATCTACACACACACACACACACACACACACACCCCTAGGCAACCACTGAGCTATCTTCATAGATTTTTGTATTCTGGGAATTTATTCATTTTTATTCAAAATAGACTGTGCTGATAACAACAATAAAGACCTTAACATATCCAGGAAAATCCTATAAAGTGAGCTGTCACACTATACTGGAGTGAAATTAGAAGCCAGCAGCAGAAACATACAGTACTTAGAATATAGTAACTATTAAATGCAAAGGTGTTTAATAGACTCAACACATACCAGAGATGTTCAATGTATATACAGGAATGAATGAATTCCCAGGTTATCTACCTAACAAAACAAAATACTTAGTTACTTAGATTGTGTTCTCCCAGAGGCAGATTCTGAGCCAAAGTTTCAAGTAGAAGTGATTTATTAAAGAAATGCTTCCAGGGTAGATTAATCAGGGAGAAGAGGAAATAGGTAATGGGAGGTAGGCAAACAACGGTACCTGTTAGGATGGATTTCTGCACTTGACCCAGGCATCTCCAACCTTCCAACTGGAGATGGCTCCAATAGCCCAAGGACAATCCTTTGCAAAAGTTTGCCAGTTTAGGTTAAGGAGATTCTCAGGGAGATCTGAGCAAAGTACCAATGTGTCTACTGTACTAGGCCACACAGTATTTTAGGATTTTTTTTTTTTTTTTTTTTTTAGACAGAGTCTCACTGTGTATGCTGGCTGTGAACTTACAATACTCCTACCTCAGTCTCCTGAGTGCTGCAATTATAGGCTTGTGCCCCCAAGCTCAGCTAGGGCTTCTTTGATTCATTCTCAAGATGTTCCTGTTGATCTTTGTTTTTAATTTTTTTTTCTACTTTTGATCTTTGCTAACTTATGTCACACTGCTTTATATTAGTCTATACAAGCAATAAAAAATGAGAAACTATGCTTGAACTAAAATGCTAGAAAATTCAAAGATTTTTTTTTAAAAAAGGAAATAAAATCCTAGATGACGGCTTAGGGCTGGTTTGGGGTGTAGGAGCTTACAAAGGCTAACCTTCTCTACAGAAAGAAATGGAAAGAACTTGTTTTTCTATGTTTTTTTTTCTATTCTGAGAGGGTGAGCACAGAGGAGGGAGGGGTACAGAGAATGGGATGTAGCCAAAAGACCACAGAGAACAAGAATATCTGATGTTTGATTTAAGATGCTCATGTGACTCCTGCTGCCTAACCATCCATTGTAGGCCACCACCTACTCAAACCCTTGGGTAAATAGGAGCTGGTTTTGTTTGTTTGTTTGTTTGTTTGTTTGTTTTTTTCTCTGGTACTGGCAATCGAACTCACGACCTTGCGCTTGCCAGGCAGGTGCTGTACTGCTGAGCTAAATCCCCAGCCCCCAGGAGCTGAATTTGGTCTAAAAACTAAGGAATGGGCTGAAAACAGGATAAAGATCAAGTTGCTGAATGGAGAATGGGAATTCAGTGGAAGCGGCCGAAGCCAGAGAACCATGAGACCGTACCTCCACAGGGAATACACAGAGATCTTGGCGGGTACTCTGGGTTTCCCTTTCCCCCAGGGAAGGAAGATCTTTCAGGACAATCTTCTCAAGATCTGTCCACTAACTGATTATACTAAAGAAGCTAAATGTGCTTCAAAATATCTTTATAAGGTGCTTTTATAAAATAATATGGGAGATGTTCTGTGAATCATCTGAAAACACAAAACAAGAGACAAAAGATCCATATGTTAAGATTCCTGGCCCAGTCCAGGTTTCCACTCTGTAATATAATTTCAACTAGTGATTTTTAATGGTAGGGGTTAAGTTATTGACTGAGATTTCTCTGAAAACCTTAATAATGAAACAGAGTCTGAAAAATGTCATAGCCCTTCTGTCATAGCTGTCTGAGAACCTTTTTACCATTTTCATTGGCTCAAATTCAAGCTGCTGGTAAAGTTGCTGGCTAAATTTTATTTTCCGTGATATGCTAAGTTTCTTCTAATCAATGCCAAGGCTGTCCATGAACTTGAAATCCTCCTGCTTCAGTTTTCTGAGAAGGTGGAATTATGAGCACACAGCACCATAACTGTCTTATCTTTTGTCTTTTTTAAAGGCCTTAGCACTAAAAAAAATTGAGTTATTCAAAACTGGAAGACTTTTAGAATGGTGCAGCACAATTCTTAAGACTAGAGGTTCCCTATA